GGCATAGAGAGGCATGCCCTTCACAAAGGCATGCCCCCTGAGGCATGCCCCAAAAATTTGCCGTGCCCCCAACCCTAATTAGCACAAATAAATCACTTTTACTAAATTACACCTACTTATGGTGATTTACTACCTACTGTATATTAACTTCAAAAAACCGGCTAATTAACCACATGCGGTGCTCTCAATTACAATTTATAACTCTACATACCATGAATTTAATTGACTATAATGTTTATGAATAAACTTGCTGGCAAAACTACAGTATTTGGATTTGGGACAAATTTTGTTATATTTGGGATGAGATTTGGAATTTGGGTTTGGGACAATTTTATTATATTTGGGATTTGGGTGGGATTACAAGAATTTATAGTTTTGCTATCATGTATATTTATGAATAGCAACAGAAACTGGTCAACATTTACTAGTAAAATACTTTGCTATTTAATGAATATATGTTTTATTATCTATTTAAATAAACACTTAATGCCAATTAATATGTTCGACATTAATAAAAAAATTTGCACATTAACAAATTTGAATACTTAGGAGTTATAGAATTACAGGAAATGTATAATAAGCTATCTTATAAAATAAAATATGAATTTATAAGTACAATTTTCAGAGCTTTTATTATTAAACTCTTCGTTCAATAATTAGCTTATGTTAATATAATAAGTATCCAAAATTCCTTTTTCAGTAATACAAATTATGCACTACCACTTGCAACAACTTTTTTAAGTCTGTCAACTTCTGTTTGCCACTTCTCAGCACTCACATGATGTTTCTGCAACCTCGCCAATAAAAATTTCACTCTCTCTTCTACAGAGGCTGGAACATGTCCGCCACCTAATAACCATTTTCCTTCTTGTTTAACAAATAAGTGTCCTAATTTCTCTAATTCTTCTTCACATTTATTTATTTTGCCAGTTTCAAGTGATAACATAAATTGGGCAGTTTGCAATTCCATTGTGGCAGCAAACAAGGAGTCGGATATTATTTGAATAAATGCAGCTTTATAAAGTGGTTTTCCAGGTTGAATCTGATCCGGTCGACCTTTCAGAAACCAAAATTAGAAATGTTGAAGCCTTTTATGTCATAAAAAACCAACAAATTTACATACCACTAAGCTGTAAAATAGTTATCAACTCTGCTTCTTCCATAGCTCGAATTGATGTATCGTCTCCATTAAAGAATGCTGAAAATTTGATTGCGTCGTATGATACCTTAATATACGTATATTAAAAAAAAAAAGAATTAAGCCTATTATATATTATACAAATAAAGACGATATAAAAAGTACATCCTTGAATAGAGAAAAATTGCATACATAGTCATTTTGAATCAATTCTTTCATTACTTTCCAAAATTGTATCCCTTTCCAAGGAATTGTTTTTGTATCGTCTGTATCATCACCAAAGCCAATTTTTCGAATCTCAATATTGGCCTTTGCTATTAAATCATTTAAGGCATCTTAAACAAATAATAATAATAATTTAGCATCATACGATTTACCCATTTATAAAAAAATTAATTTAAAAATAATATTAAGCTTACCTTGAGGAGTTTGTCCGCCACGAATTTTATTTATAAAAAATCTAAGATCAGTTACTCTGCCACCTAAAATTTTAACATGTTCTTCTAGTTCTTCAACATTGTAACCTTCAACATTCGTTTTAACCAAATTCACAGCTCTTTCATTAGGAGCATCAGTGAGATTACAATAGTTGAATGTCTTATTAGGAAATGCTTTAAGATTAAAAAAAATTTTATACATTAAATAAAATTGTTTAAAGATATAAAATTTGCAAAATGGTATAAATCATTCATTACCTTTACTCAAGCTCTTAACAATTCCCACATTAGAACTTACAAATATTACATGTGCAACACCATTATCAACCAATAAGGCAGCTACTTTGGCTAAATGACTCCAGATTTCTTGCCTTTCAGTTGTATCTTTAGTCATGAACGAATCAATCACCACGATTGGAATATCAGCAGGGTCATAAGATTCTACAAATTGAGGTTCAACAAATTTATTTGATTTCCTTTGACGTTTTTTAGTTAGAGAATCGGGTGAAATATCATGTAATGCGATCGCAAACGTATCAAGAATCTTTTTTATTTCAGAATCGGTGGATGATGAAAAACCAACTACAAAGATAAAATTATTACAAAAGTGATTACGAAAGTTATTATGAAAATTAAAAATAGAATAATATTTAACATACGTGTTTTATTTCCGATCATCGCGCTTGCCAATCCATCGATAAGATTGGACATAGAGATCAATAATGAAAACACAGGGAAATATCCTACTTGTTTCGCTAATTTCAAGATAACCTCATTTTCATTGTGTGAATTTAAAATTTCATCACATTTAATCACTATTTTATTCCTATTATAAATGAAGTAATGTAAATTAAATATATACATCTTGCTAACATAAATATATTTTTTGACAAGGTCCAAAATTATTTTTTTAATTAATTGTCAATAGTTTTCTGGGGTTGATTTCGTTCAACTTTTTGCCAGCAAGTATAAACATATATAACAACATCTAATATCAAAAGCTTACTTTTTATCTTGAATTACTTTATCGACAAATCTACTTTTACCAGTTCCAGTTGGGCCCAACAAGACAATAAGCGTTTCTAGTATAAAATCATATTAGCATAAATTAAAATTGATCAATAATAGTTATTAAATTAAAT